GTTCTTAGGGAGTGTTCATCATTTATGCAGAGGGTGCGCCATGATGATTTTAGATTTTTTCCCGTACAGTTTTTGAATGCCCCCCCCCTCCCTAAAATGTTTTTTTATCTTTTTCTGCCCGCCCCCTCCCCCCATACCATATCCCCAAGCAAAAGGTTCAAACCAGAGAAACGCTTCTCGATTTTAGGTTTAATTTCAACAATTTCGGTTAAACTTGTTGCCGGAATAAGCAGGTTCGGATAGATGGTTTGACATCTTGGAGACTTATTTGAGATGAAGGTTTCTAAGAAAAATAACAGTGTAATATTGAAAAAGGTATACTCAAATCTTAACTTAAATTACTAGGTTGATATTACCTGATGGTTATGATCCTAAGGCGAAGATAATACGAGGAAAAGAAATGAAGAGATTAACTGACCATAAACGTGTGATCGACCGACAGTTGTTTGCTTATGCCGCGAGAACTCTAGCGCCGCGCAGGCCTATGGGTAACTGCGAGCCGCGGGAAGATTCGTTGTAACAATAGCCCCCCTACCCAACTCAACCACCATCAATCCAAAGCTTCTGAAATCACAAGTCACTACAGAGTCTGAAAATTTAATGATCAACTGTACTACAAAAAATACTTCTCAATTAGAAGTGAAAGGCTATGTCAATGAACAAACATCCTTGACCCTGGAGTTACTGAACAAGTCATAATGAATGACTTACCATTGGTCAATGACAGGTTGTCTATTGACAAGTCATTAAAATAAAGAGGTTTCCTTACATTTGTTATTTACAGAAGGTTTAACGAATAAGTTTCTATTTCTAGGATGTTTTCCCCTTACATTTTCCCTTGATTATATTTTTCCCTTCTACATATTATCCCCCCTTCGAGAACATTCGTCCTCGAATGTCACGAAGAGAAGATAAAACTACAATTAGAATCAGGTGTACACTGAGCAGTACTCGCTTAGCTTGACCAAGCTATATGACTGGACTCATGCAGGTAGTCTGCATGCCAGGGGTCTATAATATAATTGAACAAGAATATTATATATAGTGTTATAATCACTAAATTACCCGCTAAATATCATAAGAAGGAAAATCTAAATGTTTCTGAACAAGAACATGAACAGCATGCTTTTAACATGAAGAGAGAAAAGAAGCGGTTCTCAGCTTAAAATTTGGTACGACCAAGATAACCACAAGAAGTGCGAAAAGAATACCCACGCATATATTCTTTTCTTGAATGCACGGAAAAACATTTGCTAGCTACTTACAGGTGTAGTTAGCGGCGTCAAGGGGTGGTTTCTTAGTTTACCTAAAATATACGTGAACCGTAATGGACGACCGTTCACCAGCGGCTGGTTACGCCAAGGCAGCTTGCTAGTGAACGACGTAACGATTAAAAATTAAATTATTGTTTCCTAAGAAAAATGTTCCACCGACGACTGATTATACCAGTCAAGTCCGGTTACCTTTTTGTGTAATCTGAAGCCCTGCTTCCTAAAGCAAAAGTATAAAATAATCTTCTCTCTCCTCTTGTTAAATTAATGCATATGTCTAAAATACCACGTCTTCGTCTTAAAAATCAAATTAGCGATTCCACTTGAAATACTACTTAAATAACGCTTCTCTGGTTTTCAAATATTTTTAAATTAAAACTTGAATTGTCGCTAATTAAAACTTGAATTGTTTTTAACTATTTTTCTCATCTTAGTTTTCGAATTAGTCTTGTTTTTCAATCGGCTGTTTCTGCTATATATCTCTAACGGTCATGTCTCTAATGGCTAGGCTTTCCATAGATCTTGAATACAAGTTCCTTTTTCATGACAGAACCATGACAACTTTACCCGGTCACTGGCTGGTGCTGGGTATTTCGTGGGCTTGAATAGGCTGTATCCTGAGCCTCCTTGTCTGTTTTAGCTGTTCCTTTTCGGGAACTTCGTACCCGGGATCTCCACCACTTATGTCACGTAGGGGGAAAGTGGGGGAGTAATACTTTCCCAAACAGAAACAAAGATTCTGGTCGCTTTTTGTTTCCTTCTTCTTCTTTATTTCTGCTACTTGTAGAACTTTACAACGAACTAATCTGAACTCTGGTAATGACTCTTGACTAGTTGCGACTTCAACTCTGACTCTTACTCCAACTGTAACTCTACTGCAACTCTCGCTGAACTATAGCTCGAACTATAACTAAAGTGAGCTCGTATTTAGTGCTAAGCTCACGTAATACGTCACATAACTGGTTTGTACTAGGTCAAACTAAATTGGACCAGTTAGGCCAAGTATGACGTAAGAGCTTGAAACAGGTGTTGACTTCAGGAAGACGTACGACAAAGTCATTATAAATGACTTACTTACCAATAACAGGTTGTCTACTGACAAGTCATTAAAATAAAGAGGTTTCCTTACATTTGTTATTTACAGAAAGTTTAACAAATATGTTTCTATTTCTAGAATGTTTTTCCCTAACATTTCTCACGATTATATTTTTCCCTTCTACAACGCCGAATATTTTTCTCAGACCAGCTTGAAATATGTGCATAACTATGATATGCCTTCACTTTCCATACCTGTAGAGAATGCGGTAAGTACGTTGCCTGTTGCTCAACCAAATTCTAGACTGAACTTAGTTGTAATAAATTCGAGTGGAGCGGCGTTTAGAATGGTCCATACATTCAGTCCTCGTCTTGAAGAACAAGCCTACATTAGATTGTGACATCTTCACCCATGAGAAAAAATGGTGCCCAGTAATACGGTTCCCTATAGCCGGAAGAATTCCTGATCTCATTCATTGCTTGATGTAAACTTGCACTCGCGCTCATTCCGTCCATTAAGTGAGTATAGAATTTATTCATGAACTCTAGTGTTGCATCGTCATCGATGGCCCACAGAGACGCTACCACTGCACGAGCACCTGACGCTAGAAAGGCTCGACACATGCYAACTACTCCTTCAGCTCTGATTTCACCACGTCCACTGTGACAGCAGCTTAACACAACTAACTGTGCACGTACTTGAGCCTTCTGTACATCAGCCATGGTCAGCATGTAATCTTCTTCATCAGGGATCTTTGTTGCTCTTACCTCAGGAGAAGGTGCAACTACGATGGTAGCTTTTGATAGGATACCATGTGCAGCAATGTGAACAACAGATACTCCTTGTTTTAGCCTCTCTAGAACGGCTGGCTTTGTAGCCTGGTCTCCCAATAATGGAGGGGTATTAAGTAACACAGAAATCTCTGCGGCTTCTCCTAATGCTCCCGGCAAGCGTTCAATATCACGTTCTTCTCCATCCATCATGACTTTCCCAACCAAAGGATCACCAATAATCAAAGGCTTGGCATCGCTGGTTTGGTCTGTTGGGAAGTCTTCAAAGTGCTTTAAAGTCGCTAATGAAGGAGCAAGTCTAATGCGTTTTGTCTCTGATAAATACTTTTCCGTGCGAGGATCTTGTAAGGCGGGAAAAGGCACTTTGTATAAGGGACCATCGGGAATAATAACAACCTCGTCTTGCTTCGACGATAGTATTGTATCACACCCTAAGATATCAAATAGATCTTCTAGAGTAGATCCCTTTGTTTCAGCACTATTCTCATTAGATTCTCCTCTGTTAGAATCGAGGTTAAGCAGTAATGCCGTTGGTTGATTAAGTCCCTCGTATTCTTCTTTGCCTCTTGTTTGTTCTTTTTGAATATCTTCTTCTTTGTCCAAGGACCTGTTCTCACAGTCAACCACCTCACGAATACCCATTTCGTCAAACACCGTATCAACGTATGTCTGTAGCGAACGATTGAGACTGATTGAAAATTGAAAATTTGTCTCCCCTCCAATAAAAAACTTCAAAAAAGCATTCAAATAAAGTGAAAAAAAGGCAATGCTGAAGTCATTTCTTGAGACCAGAGACGAAACATCGCTGTACTCTAGGTGTTCATCATTGCTCTCCTCTTGTTCCATCTTGAAGTTTGACATCATAAGATCTTTCAATGCTCTTGCACGACAACGATCTAACACTAAAAAAGCTTTCTTCATCTGTTTGCCGTTGATTAACAGTATTGCCAACAGCTTATAACTATGAATATGTTGGTCAAAAATTGAAATTTTGAATTCATCATGACTACCAAGTTTGGTAAAGATCGCTTCAAAGCATCGTATAGCTTCTCTTAGATAACGTTCTGCCAAGTCCAGTTCTCTGTTTGCGAAACACAATTGACCAAAGCCATAATAGAACTGAGATTTCAGCACATTATCAGGGCAAGACTCAGCAGCAGGTATCCCTTCTATGAAACACCGTAAAGCCATGTCATTCTTACCTATCAATTGATACAACTTTCCGATTTCTGTGATAAAGAACAAGTTCAGAGAACTATTAATATCCATCTCTTTTAACTGCTCAAGGCAATTGATTGTTTTGTGATAATCTTTTTTAGAACGATAAAAATTGTAAAGCCTCATTAAAGCCCTATGTTTCTTTGCTTTATCGCCTGTCTTCACCGCTTGGTCAAGATCCTGTAATAGCTCATCTTCAGAACATGTTGGTACCTCGTATAATTCCTTTACTGAGGGTGCATCACACTTTTGATACAAACTAACTCTGGTATAAAGACTAGAAAGAATCACTTTGAAGTGTTCTTCAGCTTGTTTTTCTCCAAGCTCTGTAGCAATCGCCATGCCTGCATCTATACTCTGAGACACTTCATTCAACTGCAACAATTCCATATGTGCTTGAGCGAGAACAAGATGTCCGTACATCTGAGTTTCTTTATCGTCAGTTTCTTGAGAGATGCCTTCTATCTCCCTCGCTATTTCAATGCATTTCTGTCCAAAGTCAGTGGCATCTTGATAGTGTTTCAAGGCAAGATGTGCTTGTCCTAGATTCAAGTACGCATACATCATACCCTCCTGATTGTTGTTTTTCATGGCGCAATCAAGGAGCTTGTGCGCATATAGAATAGTGTCATCATATTTCTGCATGTTTGTATATGCGGCCATTATACAGTTATAAGCATTCATCATGTCTTCAGCACTATCAATTTCCTGGGCAATTTTAAGACATTTTTTGCCACAGTCAATAGCATCATCATAACGCGCTAAGGATGAAAATGCATTTCCCATTTCATGATGTCCATAGATTTCGTTTCCTTTATCGTCGATAGTTTTAGCAACTTCGATCATTTTCTTAGCGTGCAAGACAACGTTTTCAAACTCGTTGAGCTCCCTATATGTGATGGACAAATATTTATGAACTATTAACTCATAACATGGTATTGCTACAGCTAACGATAATATTTCCTTCAGACACCTCAGTGAATCAGCATGTCTACCTAAGCTGTTGCTATGCTTTACGAACTGACCGCATGAATTCATCATGGTACTTATATCATTACAGTGTTTAGCCATCTCTATGCATTCTTTGTACAGACAAATCAGCTGTTCAGTTGACAGTCCAAGTTCCTCTGGCAAC